CCTCGCGTACATGCCTCCACAAGGCGCAAGTACTAGCAGTGGTCGCATAAAACGCGCGCGTCCTTGATCCCGCCGGCTCGCTGTGGCTTCCACTGCGACGACGCAAGACCCTCGTGGCGCAAATGCTGATTTGTCGAAGGTGCATTATTTTAGACGTTGCGGTGGAACCGGATTCGTCGGGGGGTTGGCTCACGCCTGGGAAGCTCGGTGATCGCTGCAGTTTACCCCCCAACAGAGACCAGTGAGTAATGCCACGTACCGTACGCAGGGTACTACTGTGCTGTCGTGAACTGCACCAGACTGGACGCATACTGCACATGGAGGATGCGCTTGCACTGCTGCTCCCTTGCGACCAAGTGTTTTTGTTCGTATTTTGAGCGCCGTTTCTCGGCTATCAGCCTTCGTTCCGATGTGATGTGTCAGCCCAGTCGACGCACCCATGGGAGCACTTCTGCCCTCAGTGGCCTGCAAGATTCTCTATGGAACGCGATTGGCCGAGAGAAGTAATGCGCAAGTGTGTCGTAGGACGAGCGAGCTTCGTGTGCCCATCGAATGCCCTTGGTTTGACCGCCAAGCGCGGGGTGGCACTGCAGCGGTGACCACGTCATCATTGCAGTTGCCTTCCACATTGGCTGCCAACACACGCGATCAACGCCTGTCGCCACTACCCATGCGATCACGGCGGCTTAACGTGATGACTATCGCTGCACCAAGAAGAAGAGCGGTATCATGACGCAACATGCGATGGTTCAAGGTTACGGCCGGGGTCGCGCAAACCAGCAGCTCACGGAGAAGCTCACGTCGAGCGACTGCACAAAGTGCCAGAACCCAGGCGGGAGGTAGAGCATGTCGCCCGGGTGCAGCGTGCACTCGAGGTACGGCACGCTAAGAAACGCTGGGAACGCGTCGGCGTCGACGTCCTCGACCTTGACCTGCGACGTGTTGGAGAGGAGGCCCTCGACCGCGTAGAGCTGTGCGTCCGGCGCATACAGCCGAAGGTACTTGCGCCCGACAACTTGACACAGCAGGTTGTGTGCCGGGTCAAAATGCAGCGGCGAAATCGTCTTGGCCGGTCCGAACCACGCGTTCACGACAACCTCGTCATCGTCGTCATCGTCATCATCGTCGTCATCGTCGGGGAGTGCGCAGTAGTCGGGGACGCAGATATCCCGGCGCAGGGGTGGTATCTACACATTCGACATTATCTGACGACGTAGCATGGGACATACCTGCTCGAAAAGCGCGTGCTGGGCCAAATAGCCTGTGTTGGCGCCAGGTTTGGCAATGTGCTCGTCAATGAACTGGCCCAGCGGCATGAGCGTCTGCGACCAGTCGTCTTCCAAGTAGCTCGAGCCGATCTCGATGGGCACGGTGCGAATGCCCGCGACGCGCTTGAGGTACTGCAAGTCGGCCCAGCCCCGTTGACTGCCGTCCAGCCCCATGGCAGGCCAATGGTCCATGGCTCCTCGGATCACAACTGGCCGCCGCGGCCGCATGTAGCGTTCGCGGAACGTTGCCATCGATGGCGGAGAGATGCATTCGATGACCGTCGCCAGCGCTGGGAGCGGGTAGAGCGCTACGTGCTCGCGCGACCGAACGCACTGCCGCTTTGGTGCGTCTTGCTCGACCGACGCCGCTCGTGAGCCTCTGGCGCTCGTCGAATCGACTGCCGGGATATCGTCACGGGGCAGCGTCTCGATGAGCGACTCCATCATAGCATGCAAGTCGTGGCCGTACGGTCCAGCCATGAGGAGGCCTGTGTCCAGAGTCTGGATCGCGGTCGCCGTGTCGGACGTGGCGGCCTGGGCCTGTGCGAGGAGGTGGCAAGCGCGGGCAAAGCGTTGCCGCCACACGACGTCGACCTCGCTCCACTTGCCGAGGTGCAGCCGGTCCCAGATGCGGTGGACCGCTTCCTCGGCAGCACCATGCGCGGCCCCGTAGTTCTGCGCTGCGACCAGCTCGGCGGCTTGTGCCAGCAGCGCTTCTTCCATGGCACAATCAATGCTGGTTGTATCCGGATATGACCAAACGCAATCTCAATCCTGTTTCTGTTTCGACACACTGTTTTGGGACCGAGCGTACCGGTAGTTACGCCATGACACGGCAGCGCGTGCCGCAGGACCCCCTCCGGGGCATGGAGGTCCATGTGCAGAAGGTCTTGGACTCGGCGCGTCAAGCTGCGCTCAAGCGCTACAAAGGGCCGGCGGCGAAGAAGCCGCCGTTGCTCGCGCACGCAGCATGGAAGTGCCACGCCGCCCTCGACGCGCTGCGCAGGTCCTCGTCGTCCGAGCATAGGTACATACATACCTGTATATTCTCTACGCTGACCGCTGGCGCTGATCTCGCAACATTTCGACAGTGTCGATGACAGCTGCGCCGTGCAGCCCGTCTCGGCAGACGTCCTCAACCGAGAAGCGACCGAGGACGAAGCTGCCTACGCCCAGCGCGTCGAACGCCGCATTAAGCGATATGCGCAGCACTACTCGCACGGTCTTGACGCCATCAGCAGTCGCAGAGGCACGACGAAGAGCACAGCATTGATCGACGCCGCCGTCCATCTGCAGACCTCGTGCCGTCACACGAACGACGCGGGCGCGTCCATCGGCGTCGCGGTGCTCAGCCGCAGCGGCAACCTCTACACGGCAGCAACGCAGGCTCCGAGCCTCGGCGTGTGCCCCGAGCGGCTAGCCCTCCTCAAGCTCGCGTCCGAAGAGAGCGAGAGCGGTGTCGACGGCGTCGCAATCAGCTCGTCCGACGCGCTCTTCTTCCCGTCGCCGTGCGGCGACTGTCGGCAGTTGATGGCGCAGTTCGGTGATTTTCCCATCTACCTCATCCGCAAGTCGCTCGAGTACGAGCGGACAACGGCGTTTGCGCTCTTTCCGCAGGCTTTGCAGCAGCCGCACGTACTGCCATCAGCCCATCCTGCGCCGACGACCACCTGGTCGCATGCCCGGTCGCAGATGCGGCCCCGCGCGCAGATGCAAGCGCGCGACTGGGGTCCCGACCACGTTCTCGACTGGCTCATCGAGGACGTGGGTCTGCCCGAGTACGCCCATGTGTTTCAAACGCACGGCGTGGACGGCGCGATGCTGCAGTATCTGCAAGAGTCGGACCTCGAGTTCCTCCTCCGCATCACCAACGTACTCCACCGGAAGCGCATCAGTCTCTGCTTGGACCGTCTCCGTGCTGCAGGTACACTGAGATTCCTCGTGATTTGAGATGGAGTGTCAGTAGATGCATCCGATGGCGTTGCCTTTGCTCAGCTCGACGACTACCTCGCCGTGCTGGACATGGACCGCATCAACGTTCGTATTGGCATCTTTGGCGTGTTGTGGTTCACATGCTGAGGCTGTAGGTTGTCGCCAAGCTCAAGGTCGCCTTTGACGCGGCCGACGTCAACAGCTCTGGCACCCTCAGCTTCGAGGAGATCAAGCAGGCGCTCACTCGCCTCGAGTACGCTGTCGACGCATCGGCGGTATCACAGTCAATACGACTGCAATATCTCCTTGCGCTAGTAGGTCGAACGCTGGATCCAAAGCCGCTCGACAGAGGCCCGCGTGACGTTCCCCGAGTTTGCGCTGGCGGTGGTGACGGCGTACTCCAAGTCGACGTCACTCCCCGTGCTGCCGCTGCCCAAGCTGGACGTGGCCGCGATTCGCCAGTCGTTTGAGCGCGTCGACGCCAACGGCAACGGCGTCATCGACAAGCGAGAGCTCTTGCGCGCGCTCGAACTCCTCGGGCGCAGCGACTGCGAAGCCAAGGTCGCCGACTGGTTTGCCAACGCCGACGAAGACCGGTCGGGCTCGATTTCATTTCCAGAATTTGTGCTGCGCTACACCCAGCTCCAGAATCTGGATGTGACGCCGCTCCGGAACGCCTTTGATCGAGTGACACCGCACGGGGCGGTCTGCCCGCTGCTGCAGCTCCCACTCGTGTTTCGCGAGCTCTTTGTCCGGTACGATGGTACAGCGCTCGACCGATACATGGCCGCGAGGAAGGAGCAGACGACCGGACTCTCGTTCCCCGAGTTCCTCGTCATCTACCATCTCTTTGTGACCGAGCCCGAGCCCGTACGTGCGTCGTCATTTCACAGCAGCGTCAAGAGCCCGGCGCTAGGTGCAAACGACCGAGCAGGTGCATCGGTACCGCATCGTGCAGCTACAGCAGTCCGGCCACGTGCGGCTCTGCACCAAGCCTCCAGTTGCATCGAGCCCCCACAAGCCGTACGAGAATCGGGCTCATTGAAGGCTTTACGACCTGGTTTGGACATAGGAGCCAGCAAACAAGTACGAGCGAGGCGCCGTCCAAGCTCATGCAGTTCCAGCAAGCGTACGACGACGCATCGATGCTTCACGGCGTCTCCAACACAGTAGTAGGAGGAAGCGCCGGGAAGAGACCAAGGACGACGACACCGACGAAGACGAGAGCAAGCTTGCCGACGAGGTTGCTTTGAGCGTCTGTTGCCAAGTTGACGCACGTTTCTCGCATAGTTTGCGCACGTCCACGAAGCCTTTGTCCGCTTCCGAGCCAAGCGCGTGACGACGCCCGAGGCCGTCCAGGCGCTGACCGAGCTCGGGCTCGTGCTTCCTCGGGCCCAGGTAGTTTTTTCGCTGTCGACGGTTGAAGCAGCGTGACTAGATGCTGGCTTACTTTACGAGCCATGGCTTTGGCACTGCGCGCGACATCTCGTATGCGGACTTGGTTCGGAGCTACCAAGCGCTTCGAATGGCGTCGCCAGCGTTCAACAAGGCGGTAGCGCGCCGCCACCACCGAGAACACCACGGCCGTACGATTGTACCTGCGTCCCACACCACTGACCTTTGTGCTGCAGATGCCAAGAGAATGCAAGCGGCTGAGGTATGCAAGTGACTCTCAGAGCACGTGACACGTTGGCGCGTAGGCGTTGCTCAACGGAGCTAACGGGAAACCGTTCACGCGCATCGAGTTTGACGCGTACTGCCGGCGCCAGCACGCAGCGCACGAGGACGACGCCAAGGAAGACGACGAGCTGCCGCCGTCCAAGCACCGCGCCGCTGAAATCGACAAGCTCTACCGCGCGCACGCGGCCCGCCGAGAAGCGTACGCTGCCTACCTCGAATGCGACTGCGACGACAGTACGTAGACGCCTGCCGCCCTCGAGCGACTCGGACGAAGACTCGGACGACGACGTGGCGCCTCGGTAGGTGCTGGTTGCCAAGGTCTCGATGCGACAAGCGGTATGGGAGTAGGCGCCAGCGACGTCCAGGCGTGGAGGTCGGTGACCGCGTCGTCGACAAGACGCGGGCGCTGGGACCGGCGACGGTCATTCGTCTCTACCCGGCGTACGGTGTCTGCGACCTGCACTTGGACTCGGGGCCCAAGCGGCGCAACGTCGACGTCACGTCCCTCGTGCGCTTCCGTGACAAACCGCTCGCGTCGTTCGCGGCACCCGAGCTCTTTGCAGTTGGCGACAGCGTCAATGTGCGCTACAAGGGCACAAAGCTGTGGCGCGCCGGCGTCATCAAGAAGGTCCGGTCAACCGAACGCGCGTACGACGTCAGGTATGCGCGCGACGAGGTTGAGAAGCACGTGTCGCACCACCACGTCCGCCGCGCTCTGGCTGCAGCGCTCGAGTCCGACGAGGTATATCGACTTCTTCCTATCGCCGAGGTGCATCGAGGTTTAGGGCCTGGTCGAAGGCGCCAAGGTCGAGGCCCGGACGCGCGAGTGCGCCACGTTCTTACCTGGTCGCATTCTCTGCGTGCGCACGAACGGCACGTTCGACGTGCGCTTCAAGCACGAGGACGGCGCCGTCAAGGAGCGGCTGCCCAAAAAGTGGCTCCGACTGCGAGCCAAGGACGGTGACAAGGACGGAGACGACACTCAGTTTGAGGTCGGTGACGCTGTGCAGAAGCAAGCGCACGGCGCCATCCAGCGGGGCGTCGTCGCGCGCTGCCGAAGCGACGGGTCCTACGACGTCGAGTGGGACGACGGCGAGGACGAGACGCATGTCAAGCCATCGACGCTCCAGCCGGCAGCCTCCGCGGTGGGCGCACCTACCGTCCAGCTGTGTCATTGACGGCTTTGGCATTAGCAAGCGCTCACCATGGGCGACCTGGTGGAAGCGCGCTTTGGCGGCAAGGACAAGTACTTCAAAGGCAAGATCACCCACGTCCATAGCGATGGCTCCTACGACATTGAGTACGACGACGGCGACGAGGAGCGTCGAGTGGACCCAGCGCTCGTGCGCCGGCGCGACCAGCCCAAGGTCGTCAAGCACCCGGTCCCTGTGCTCCAACCACGTGTCTCGTAGCTCACCAAGGGTGCAGTCGTGGAGGCTAGGTATGGCGGCAAGGACAAGTACTTCAATGGCAAGATCACCCATGTGCATGGCGACGGATCGCTGGACATCGAGTACGACGACGGCGACGAGGAGCGCCGCGTAGACCCAGGACTGGTGCGCCTGCTGCCAACGACCAAAGGGACACCTCGCAGCAAGGTGCGATCATATCTTCGTTCAGGCGGCTTGACATGGTGTTCTAGTGGGCCAAGGGCGATCTGGTGGAAGCGCGCTTTGGCGGCAAGGACAAGTATTTCAAAGGCAAGATCACCCATGTGCACGGCGACGACTCGCACGACATCGAGTACGACGACGGCGACGAGGAGCGGCGCGTGGACCCAGCGCTGGTGCGTCTGCCAGCCAAGAGCAGCACCAAGCCCCAGGTCTGCTTCGCGTTACGATGTATCCATCTCATGCGATCCCTCCCAGTTCAAGAAGGGCGATCTCGTGGAGGCGCGCTTTGGCGGCAAGGACAAGTACTTCAAAGGCAAGATCGCGCACGTCCACAGCGATGGGTCGCTGGACGTCGAGTACGACGACGGCGACCGAGAGACGCGCGTGGCAGCGTCGCTTGTGCGCCCATCTGCTGACGCGTATGCGGACGACGACTTTGAGGAGTGACTTAGGATGATGAATTATGCAATGGTAAACGCGTGGGCCAGCGGTGAATAGCTTAGTTACATGACCGCGCGGTAGGTCACGTACCGACCGGCGGTCTCGGACGGTCGGATGATCTTGACGACTTGGCCACGGGTCATGCCGTAGTATCTGCATTGAGGATAAGATCACATAATGCAAAACAATAAGTACCTCGCGATCGGGTCGCTCACTTGCATGCGCGGGAGCTGGCTGTCCTTGAGCTTGTAGCGCTTGAGGAGCGCGATCTTCTCTTCGCGCGTGAGCACCTTGTGCACGGGCACGAGCGTGTGTTCGGTGATGTCGACGAGGAGCTCCGTCTCCTTAAAGTGGTCAATCTTGTAGCGCGGCGCCATTTCGTTGAGCGCTTGCTTGGCAAAGGGCGTGATGCCATCCTAGGTGGCATGAGCGCTCGAGAAGCAGCATGGGTGGCATCTACCTGCACGATGAGGATGGCCTTGGTCACGTTCTCGTCCTTCATGCGGTTGCAGTAGGTGCGGATGGGCTTGACGCCGACCTTGGCGTCGTCCGGGTAGAAGACGAAGAGGTTGTCGCTCGGGTCGTCGACCTTCTCGACGAGGATGGTCATCATCTCGCGCGTCGGGTTCTCGCCGAACTGGGCCGCGAAGCCGTCGGTGGTGCGCTTGAGCTCGTCGTCGCTGACGATGTAGCCGCGGTTGGCGAGCATCTTGACCACGGTCTTCCGCACGCGGTACAAGCGCGAGGCCTCGGGGTTCAGCACCAGCGCGCTCATGTGTTCGATTCGTTACTGGCCATAGACCCAATCACTGGCCTTGGCAAATAACCTCTGTCTAGTGATACCTCTTTCTTTCAATTGCTTCTGAAACCTCCCACAATACATATGGCGCCACATCCGATAGAAGAGGTTGACCGCAAATGGTACGACAACGTTGACCTTGGGAATGCCAGCGTGATGCGAAATCAGTGTCCGGCGTCGATAGCCCATGTGTCCCGCGAACGCTGAACGAGGGGTCGATAAGGAAGCAGAGACCGGCGGCTTGCTTTCGTATTGACGGCCCATTTGACCCAGAGGCCGGGTGGCGGACCTGTTCTTGCGAAGGCGGTAGCTTTATCAGAACCGTCAATACCTCTCGTCCTGCTTGATTCTGCAGTCCCAGGAAGTGTCGTCCACCCGAAGAGCTATGCGCCGCGCAGTAAATGGCTCGAAAATCACCCGATCAACAGTCTCTGGGAACATTATCCGGAGCCATTGAACACACGTCGCCAGAACTCTGCAGCACCCTCGAGCAGCTCGTCGGCGCCGTTGGTCGACATGACACCGCGAAGATAGCACCGACGTCGTTGCGACCAACGAGAAAAGTCTCGTTCTAGTTAGTGTTATTCCTTATTAATACGAGGCCCAGCGACAAGCGTCCTTGAAGGACCCCAGCCGGGAGTCTCAAGCGTGCTTTTGAGTTTCACCGCCGTTTTTGAGTTTTCATGCCAATCGGACTTAAGCGAGCACGATGGGCTATCCGGATACGGCGGCGCAGATTTCTGGACGCAGGACGCAATCGGTGGTGATGTCGTTGCCGAATGACGCGGCCGCGGTGCTCGCCTTCTGGTTCGAGGGCGACCAGCAAGAGATCTACCGCACCAAGTGGTTTCCTCCGGCTGGCAGCGAGATCCAAGCGCTAACGGACAAGCGCATCTCGGAGACCTTTGGCCCGCTCCTCGCCGCCGCCGAGCGACGCGAGCTGCATGCCGACTGGTGCGCGTCGCGCGAAACGTTCGTGGCACTCATCGTGCTGCTCGACCAGTTCTCGCGCCATGTGCACCGCCACGACGCCGACAAGCGCGCGGCCAACGACGTCCTCGCGCTGGCGCTGGCCGAAGCCTTTGTCGCCGCTGGCCACCACGAGACGGTGCCGACCAACTACTTTGTGTTCGCGCTCATGCCCTTTCGCCACACACCAACGCACGCGCGCCTCGCGTCCGTCCTCGAGCACATTGATCGCCGTGAGGTAGACTTCAAGTCCGAATATGGTCCATCATCACTCGCTCGCGTAGGCGCTGCTCGCAGAGCACACGGACATTCTGTCCAAGTTTCGTCGGACGACCGTGCAGCGCCAAGCGCACTTGCGCCCTGCGTCGACAGCTTGCGTGACCAACGCCGACGGCGAGGACGAGTTTGACATTCTCGAGCGCGCGGCCTTCCTACACCCGGACGAAGACAAGCTGTTGCCCAAGCACGTGCTGACGCCGCTCATGCACAGCTTCCTCAGCGCGATGGACGCAGGATCGCCGGTCTGCCCTGCGATTGGCATTTCGCTTTCGGGCGGCGTCGACTCGATGGTCATCGCCTACTTGCTCGTCAAGCTGGCGCCGCGCTACAACAACTTCAAGGTGCACACGCGCCCAACGACCTTCTCTCAACCCGTCGTAGGTCGTTGCCGTGCACATCGACTACAAGAACCGCGCCGAGAGCACGGCCGAGGCGAATTATGTCGAGGAATGGTGCAAGCCGCTCGGGTACGACGCCTACTGTGATGCGCAGCGCGTCACGCCACTTGGCCAGGATCGAATGCTACGTGCGGCGCATCGACGAGTGCCAGCGCGCGACGACCAAGCGCGAGGAGTACGAGCGCATCTCGCGCGACATTCGGTACACGACGTACGCCGAGGTCATGGCGCGCCACAGCATTCCGGGCATGTGCGTCGGGCACCACCGCGGCGACGTCCAGGAAAACGTCATCTCCAACATGATGAAGGGCCAGTCGCTCCTCGGGCTCAACGGCATGAGCACGTGCTCGAGTGTCAACGGCGTGCGCATCTGGCGGCCGCTCCTCGCGATCGACAAGGACGCCATCTTTGACTTTGCCCACGTGTTTGGCGTGCCGTACATGAAGGACACGACGCCGCAGTGGAGCACGCGTGGGAAGCTCCGGCGACAGCTCATGCCGCTCCTGCACGAAATGTATGGCGCGGGTACGTCTGGCGTTGACGGTATTTTGCTGATATCAATGGCGCAGGCTACTTGAACAACCTCTCCAACCTCGGCCAGGAGGCCACCGAGTGCGCGAGCGTAGTGTTATTTTAATCTAGTATGGGTGGTGACGACGGCGCGTAGGTGCTAGAGACCATGCTGCTGGGGCCCGTGCTGCTGACCGTGCAGCACTCGGCGCTCGCGGTGTGGATCGACTTGACGCTGCTGGCGCCGCAGCCCATGTTCATTTGGAAGGAGATTCTGCGCCGCGTGTGCCATGAGCGCATGGGTGAGCGCATGATCCGCGACAAGCCGATGCTCGAGCTCCAGCTCAAGGTCATGAAGCCCAACATGAAGGCGTCGTGGATCACGCTCAAGAAGCAGACCAAGTCGTTCATGACCGACGACCGCCAGCTCATCCTCTTCCGCGAGCCAGTCTTTCAGATCAAGGTCCCGCGCGGCCTCGAGATCCCGCTGGGCACGACAACGCAGTGGCACAAGTGGACAATCTCGCTCTCGGTCGAGCAGCCAGCGGCGGAGCTCGTTGAGAAGCGGCTCGACATGTGGGACGTCATCCGCGCGAGCGGCGTCGAGTACCTCCTCCCGCACGCGCCCAAGTACGTACTCGACACGGAAGACCGCGACGTGTCGCTCCGCAGCATCGACAAGTGCCTCACAGACGCCATGCCGCTCGTTGTGAACCAAGGTGTCTTCTCCGACTCGGACGCCGTCGTCCGCGTGCAGCTGCGCTACGGTTAACCTCCATTCTCCTGCGCATCGTGCTACCACTTAATCCTACAGCGAGGCAGTCGTAAACACCCTTTCTATGGGCAATCGGCCTAGCGTCATCGCGACGAATTCGCATAGATGAGTGCATATGGCTAATACGGGTGCTCCAACCACGCGCGTCGTCTTGCTATTGTCTGATATGTGCGAATTGCGTCGCACATTGTGACAAAAGAGGGTGTCGACGATCTGAGTTGGCGTCGTATAAAATTTAGATTGGCGGTTTGTATGCAATCGCCTGACGACGAGAGTTGGATGTGCAAGAAAAACAGCCCGCCGACTAGCGGGAAAGCCGGAGCACCCAAATGCTGTCGCCCCACGACGCCGGCACGCTGCTTCAACAAACGCTCGAGTGTAGACCCAATGACCTCGGTGCTAACTCTTCTGGCCTCAGATGAAAAGACTAAGGTTCCCTGGAGCTGCGCAGATCTCGCTACGAATGGTACGTGTGACTCCTCTTGCTTCTCCAAGTGGCGGTTGAGCCAAACGAATCCGCGTACATCAGTGTCTTTCTGCTTCGCAACGTTGCTGGTAACCAAGTAGAATGTCTTCATCATCATCGTGATAAGAAACGACGACGGCCAGAAATCGCGCAAACTGCGGCCCGTGGATTCGGTTGGGTGCCTCGTCTAATGCCTCGCCGTGCAGAGAACTCGAACTCTCACTTTCCTTTTTGCCTTCTCAGCACCAACAACAGCCATGGCAGCCAAGCGACCGGGTGCCATGGAGCTCCAAGAACGCGTCTCGTACGTCTCGGTGACCCAAGACAAGGCCGCTGGCGAAGACTACGGCGACGTCAAAACCCCCGGCGAGCTCGAGGG